TCGCTTATAAATTGAAGTGTTAAATGGCTTATCTTTACTGTAAACAATTACTAAATACATATGTTATATAAATAGGAGGGCAATCAAGAAAGTGATTGGTCAGTGAATGTCGGTGCTGGAGCGCATTCGTCCTTTTATGACAGCAACAATAAGCAGCAACCGATTGAAGCAATCGTGGATAATTTAATTGGTGGACTGCGATATCGGATGGATGTTCGAGCTGTTACAGAAGCCGGTGAAGGTGATTTTAGCGCAGCATCTGATGCTGTGCATGCCGAAATGCCTATTTTACGTTGGTTTTCTCTTTCTTTTTTTTCACTATTTTTTTTTTGAATTGAATTTAATTTAATAAATTTCTCATTAAGAGAATTGCATTATACACATCCTTCTTAATGATAACAATTTATATGCTATAAATGTTATCATGTGAAGAATTTCAGCATTCAACATGAAAAAAAAATTTATATTTTTCTACTATTTTATTTCGAAATTTTTGAATTAATTTTTTTTTAAATTTATAAGGAGATAAATTATAAATACTTCGAGATGAGATAACATTTCAGCTCCACCACGTCCTTCATCACGCATCGAAATAGTGTACAATACAATTCATAGCACCGATTTAGGAATACGATACAGCACATCGATGTTCAACACAAAACACGGATATCTTAAAAAATCAGCGCTAATTGTTGCTGAAGTTAGCAACAACAATGAAAATATAATCAATTCCATCATAGACAATCAAAATAAAACAATTGTAAGATCCTCATTGTTTAAATTTACACTTCAAAAGTTATTTATGCTATCTCTTATTTGTTTAATTATTTGCTTTTTGTTTATTATATTATGAGTATATATATATATTTTTAATCTAATTCAATTATCATTTTTTAGACATGGGGTCAAGCGCGAAGATTCGATTTATGGCCAGCATATGTAGCAATCGAAACAGCGATCGAACCATTGAGAAAATTTTTTCCACCGCATTTTGTTTCTGAAGTATGATTTAGAAATAATATTTTTTTTAAATTAAATTTTATTGAAATTATACAGGTAACTGATTGTTTTTATGCTCTGTGAAAATTTTAATTTTGTAAATCATTCGAACAAATTAGAATTGGGGAAAAGAGCAAATTTTAAACTTTTCACACAAATCCTTATGTCATTCAACAAAACACTTCTGCCCCAAGCATTTTATCATAATCATTACCAAATTATTATCAAAAGTAAAAAAGTCAAAATTATCACACTTCTCGTCTAGTGGTGCGATTCAGTACACTTTTGCTGATGATGTGATTACTGAGTGTCACATATCAGTCTTCTAAATTATCTTCCTGTCCTGTTTACTGAATCCAATCTGGTAAAGTAGGCTTGATAGAAATCGTTTGATCAATTAATATTTTATAGATTTTATCGGCTATCTAGAAATTTCCAGATGATTGCAACCATTATCATTTTCACACAGCCATTATCAACCATTATCATTTTCACACATGACAAAATTTCCAAGATGGATTTAGTGGAAATTTACTGATCTATCTTAATCTAATAAATGTTAACTCAGAGGAAGAAGCCATACTGGGTGAAAAGGAAGATTTGGAATGACTGTGTTCAATTTTATATTACAAGCTCGATAAAATCAATAAAGCTCGTCAATTCTGACGAAATTATTAAATTAAGCAGCTCTTTTAAGTTTAAATTAAATTTCAAAAAAAAACTTGCAGACATTGGGTGCGGATGGGACATGCGGTGATATCGAAGTTGATACAATTTGCAATGGACCACTTAAGCCAGCAACATCGTATCGTTTTAAATTACGACTTTACACGGCACCAAATATGTGGACTGACTCAGAATATTCCGAAATTGCAACCACAAGTTCGTTCATTCATTGCTTTTTAAGAAACATTTTTGAAAAAAAGAAAAGATAGATTTCACTGATAAATTCCTTCAATACATTATTTTTACTTTCATGCTTAAAAAGTTGATCTTTTGTTGATCAGCTTATTTTATATAAATGTGTATTAATTTAGCATTTATGCGTAGTTTTATGTAGAGACAGTAGGATATCTTAACATGAAATTCGAGATGAATATGGTTTCTTTCATGGTTTTTCTGGGAAAAAAACTTATACATGCTAAATTAATATATATTTATATAAAATAAGCTGATCAACGAAAGGTCAAGGAAGTCTTTTTTTTCGTCAGTATATTACTAAGGATAACAAAACTATATGTACTGTATTTACTAAGGAAACAAAAGTTAAATGAAAAGAAATGATACATCTACATTCGTTAATAAAAGAAAATATTATGATTATTAATTTATGCAAGAATGATAAACGAGGAAGGTCTGTAAATTAATTTAGTATTAATTTAGTTTTTGCTTAATTTGTCATTTTCTTTTATATTAAATTAATTCGTCATTGTCTTTTATATTAAATGATTGTTCACCGAATAGTCATATCATAATTTCTATTTTGTAATCGATGAATGTTTTTTAAATTTTGAATTGATATGGATTTGGAATGCTTACGAATCCTATCAGTTTATCAGATTGAGCGACTAATGTCTCCTTCTATTTTTTATTAGCCTAAATTCATTTTCTCCACCGTTGGTGCTTTCTATGATCATATCTGTCGGGAGAGTTGATGTTTGTCTATAAATTTAAAAATTGTAAGTGTGAAATTCTCGATATGTGCAAATTTATACGGAACTTTATATTTTTATATTTCCTCACAAAATCTTGCTCAAATGACGATGATTGAGTTGGTTAGAAAAAAAGTTAGTTTGTTTTATAAGACACGATCACTATGATTTAAAAACATATTTTCAATTCACAAATCATATCTTGCACGTACACCTAGCCATTATACAGTTAAGCATCAAGAATTTAACATGCATATATTTAATTTATTTTTTTAAATTAGTTTCTCCGTTTTCCTGTCTTTTTTTCGCTTTCGCATCTTCAATTTAGTCTCAATAACTTTAACCTGACATGTTTACTTCATACCTATATCGTATCCTTTAACCCATTCATTTTTAGACTAAAAATGGAAATTTTGAAATATCAACTATTGATACGCTATTCGTTATGCCTACTTCAAAAAAAAGGTAGAAGTGAAATGTTAAATGAAATTGTGAAATAAAAATTATTGATTCTTTTCATCTTTTTTTTGTTTCATGTAAATTTTATGTAAACAATGATTTGTTTTACGCTTTACCGCTAATTTTTTTTTTCATTTTGAAATAGTTCATGAAATATTTTTATTTGCCAACACAATTATCATAAAATCGCTTCTTCTTCGTTTTCTTTCTTACGACGCATTTTTCGCTTTTAATTTCATCAAACTTATAAATGATTAGACAAACATCAGCTTTTTCTTTTGCTTTTTCTTTTCCATTCTCTCCACGTGCCTTCTTCTTTTCTCACACACTTCTTTTAATTTCATCAAACTTTACAAAAAATTCGCAGCACATTAATTTTCATGCATGTCACAATTGTTATATCGTCCTTTTGTTACAATAGAATGGTTGGGATGAATTTTGGAACATTAAAATAAATGACAAATTGTTCTTTGATGCTTACAAATTATTGATTAACTCTAGGACAAGCTGACAGTTGAGGGGGATGTATTGGATAGGATAATAGGCCTATCTTATGGGTCACTTCTTTGATTTCCATTGGCCACTTAATCAGCCTTCTGATCTCTGTATGTGTGTGTGTGTGTATGTGTGTGTGTGTATGTGT